CAATGTGATGTTCCATCTGTCCTCTTATTGTTGGAACTGTTTGTAAACTTTTGTCCTTTCCCACTGTAATATTTATCGATGAATGTTGGTTTCGATCTTCATCTTAGATGAAACAATAGTTAATTTCAGCTGATCATTAGGTGTATTTTCAGTGAAGAATATTTGTATTGCAAATCAATTGTATTATGAACATTAATTCTATCCAATATTTTATAGCTTATTTTCAGAGAAATACATAGCATATAGTTGCTAGAGACAACTTCATCTGATGTTCCTCTCACATGAAATTAGCAATAGTTTTCAATGTTATATGCCCATTTTTCTCAATCTTTTTTTCAATATCCTTGACTACTGTAGATGTTATTGTTTTAAAATGTTGAATTGGTGCTGTAGGCCTCTTGTCAAGTATCCAGTGTTCCTATATTTTGCAACCATGTGTCGAGCAAGGACATAAATAAAGCTATGTAGCATTGTAATGCTTTCAAAGTAATTGTTTAAATTCAGTCAACTTCTCATTACAAATTTGAGAAGCAGTAACAGCACAATGTACAGTACTTGCCATCAAGATATCGTTCTGCAATGGAAATGGATGGACTTTTATTGCAATGCCAGTCAGAAAGAATAAAATTAACTGTTTTTACCAAGTCATGTTAATGTACTGTACATTAGTTCTATGAGACTAAGGAAGGAGATACCGTATTTACATGCATATAAGAGGAGGTTTTGATTTATTTTTCACTGCTTCAAAAACCTAGGTCATCCTATACGTGTGAGCAAAGGATTCTTTGCATTTTTGCAGTAATTATTGTGAACCATGTATTTATATTTTTTACTGGATGCTCACCCTCTGCTCTTTAAAAACAAAAGATAAAATACTTTTGTTTTAGGTTTATTGCTTTCATCTTTACTTCTGGCAATGCACAAGAACGATTCAAAGCTTTTGAATTGAATTCCAAATTGAAATTTCATAATCGCACAGGAGCCCAATATAAGTTTTTCCATGTGGGAATGGATTAATAGGTGATTATTTGGAAATTAGAATTCAGAGAAGCTCATAAGTGTAATCGACAGAGAGTGGATTAGACTATTAAGAATTGGCAAAAAATGTTCTTGATTGTTCAGCTTTAAGGAAAAATCTTGTAAGATTAATTTGTTCATGTAAAGTTTGAAACGCCAGTAATTTTTGCTGGACAATGTGTGCATTTACGTGCATTTGATATTTTATTTGTGATTAAAGATCAAAATAAAGAAAATTAGATTTATTAATACAATTCTAATTTCATTTTGTTTAAAGTCACCCCTCATCTTAAACGTGAGTAAATACGGTGTATATTTTTTCCCACTTTTTTATGATTTATATATAATTATTTTTAATTAAACATTAAACATAANCTTATTTTTAAATATAAAATTTTTATCCCCAAAATAATATTTAAAGCAACATAAAGAGACTAATTAAATTTAAGTTGCTAAGGAAGGAGATACGATATTTACATGCATATAAGAGGAGGTTTTGATTTATTTTTCACTGCTTCAAAAACCTAGGTCATTCTATACACGTGAGCAAAGGATTCTTTGCATTTTTTACTGGATGCTCACCCTCTGCTCTTTAAAAACAAAAGATAAAATACTTTTGTTTTAGGTTTATTGCTTTCATCTTTACTTCTGGCAATACACAAGAACGATTCAAAGCTTTTGAATTGAATTCTAAATTGAAATTCCATAATCGCACAGGAGACCAATATGTTTTTCCATGTGGGAATGGATTAATAGATGATTATTTGGAAATTAGAATTGGCAAAAAATGTTCTTGATTGTTCAAGCTTTACATGAACAAATTAATCTTACAAGATTTTTCCTTAAAGTTTGAAACGCCAGTAATTTTTGCTGGACAATGTGTGCATGTACATGCATTTGATATTTTATTTGTGATTAAAGATCAAAATAAAGAAAATTAGATTTATTAATACAATTCTAATTTCATTTTGTTTAAAGTCACCCTTTGTCTTAAACGCGAGAAAAAATTGGAAAAAATATACACCGTATTTAATGATTTATATATAATTATCTTTAATTAAACATTAGTGTAACAGTCATAAAATTACCTGTATATGATATTCTCATAGCTCTAACTGGTACTCCTGCAACATCAATGTTACGAATGTGAAGAAAAGGAAATTCTTTATTGGTGACAGGATTATTGGTCAATTTTGAAAGAACTTCTCTAGAAAGAGGACCAGCAATTCCTAGACATGCCATTTCATCTGTGACATTTTTGAAACTTACTTGACTATTCCATTTAGAGGCATATTCTTTCATCCATCTAAAAGTTATTAATCAATCATGTCAAATATAATTAATTTGAAAAGTAACTTACAAATATTCAGTTTAAATGGAGTTGTATATTCAAATGAAGTAGTGAAATATCATTTGCTTTCAATGAGTAAATAAATGACATAAAAAATTGCTCCAGTCCAAAGAATTTTTCCATTTTAGACAGGTTTTACAGTATTTGTTTCATTATACTAAATTTTACTATAAGCCAGAAATCTGTTTAACACTGAAATTAAGTTTGGTTCTTTGTAACTAAAAACCTTTATGTACTGCTTTATCCAGGTTAAGATTCAACTTGCAGAGAATAATATAAAAAAAGACATTTTGTCTGTATATCCCCTTGTCACATGACCTTCACTTCTCTAACAAGGTTTGAAATTAATCAGGAGCAGAATCAAATGAGTTTCTGAGAACAAACAATGAACATAATTTGTGAAAACAATGAGAATAAGGTAATACATTTCTGCCAATTTGTCTTGGTGCTCGGTATTACTAATTACTTTATACAAATATTTAAAAACAAGTTGATAATCATTTAGTTCAATCTCTGTAATCAATTAGAGTAACAGTGCCAAACTGTGGCCCACAAACATAGTTTACACATAATTTATAAAAGATAGTATAGGATGTTATTTGTGCTTATGGTAAATAAAAACTCCATGAAAGGAAAAGGAAACTAGATGACTTGATTTAACCAAAGACAGCTACATGGAGACAATGACTTTATGCATAAATATCACAGTATAGTGTATGTGGGTTACAAAAGTGACCCTAAGAGACAAAGAAGAGAGCCAATGTTTGTCCCCTCTTTTGGAAAGAAAAAAATTTATTGCATAAAAAGTCTTTTGTATCAGTATTTTTTACAATGATGAAGTCTGTATCACTACAATAGAAATAAGCCTACTTTTTGTATATTTGGAATACACAAAATGTTTGCTGTTGGCGTGGCTCAAAGATTACATCCAAGAAGTACACCAATTCTTTGCTTAATGTTGTTTCGGAATGATACAGTGCATTTGTCAACAACTGTATAGTATCATCTGTATAACTTGTAATCATTACAATTATCATTGTTGAATGGCAATTAGCCTATGATAAAATTGTTTTGTTATACATTATTTTAACATCACAGTTTTAAAGAATCTATCAAATGACTTGCTGTATTCAAATACCCAGTACAGGTTTTTGGGAGTAATAAAACCTTGCATTAAAACCTTCCATTTAAACCTTCCATTTTTAGTTGGAACCACTTTGAATTAAATCTGATATTATAAACATAAAAATTTTATTAAGTGATTTTACAGTGTTTGTTTCTGGAAGGCCTACAGCTTAAAGGTTTTAATTTGTCCAGTTTTCTTAGAAATTGTGAAATTATGATGAAACAAAATAAATTTATAAAAATATTTGCGAGTATTTTATTTTAACGGTTAAACACAAACTTTACAACCCCACCCAAACTTATCCCCATCTTATTCCTAGGCTAAGAGTGACAGAAAATGTATTTTTAAAATTCTAACTTGCAAATATCTCTGGCAAATATTAGGTTTGTTCCAACACAAGTCCCTAATTGGTTTAAAACTGGTATGTGCATTGTTCAGTTCTTGTAAAATGACATTGCACATGCCTTGTACAGTTTCAAATTCAAACCAGTCTGGGACTTGTGTTAGAACAAATCTATTGTAAAGAGAGTGTGACAATTCAGTTTAAAAGTTCATAATTTCTATTTTAATTATTTAATTTGAAAACCCAAAAAAAGAGAAAGCAAACTTGTAAATGTAATAAAGATTGGCTGACACAAAACAAATTTCAAAAATAGTTACCATCTGTTTGAGATGATGATGCCACCTTTTCAAAATTGCTGATCCAGACAGGGACAGCAATTTAGAAAAGGTGGCAATACTGTTTACATAAAATTTTTAAATTAATTTTTCTATAAAATGTTTGAAAACAATACTTATAAACAAAACTCAAATGTTAATATACTCAGGATTTGTTTGCATATTTTAATGCATTAGCCCATATTAGCTCTCTAAAACTTAAATATTTTAAATGGCTATTGGAAAAATATGATAACAGAAATCACTATGGTAATAGTCTCTTAAAAATATGCCTAGAATGTTATAAACAAATTTATTGTTGAACAGTGTTTAATTGATTATAATTCTTATGCATATTATAGCAATTAAAACAAAATGAAAACCAAACTGTAATTTGATACTTGATCAGAGATTATATTACCTTATTTGAACTTTCTAGAATTACTCCTGCAACATCAATGTTACGAATGTGAAGAAAAGGAAATTCTTTATTGGTGACAGGATTATTGGTCAATTTTGAAAGAACTTCTCTAGAAAGAGGNCATTGCATTTAATGGTTTCCAGATGATGAGAACAATGTACAGTAAGGGCACAAAGTGTGAGATTCATAGAAAAGTTTTCCTAAGAATATTTCCAAGAGAAAATGGGTTAGGGGGCATTGGGTATAACTTTATGGAACAAAGGGGGCAGTGCATTGAAAAAGTTTGAGAATCACTGATATAGATGATAATATTCCCATACACTTTCTTTGTTCTGTAGTTTTGAAGATCATCACAGGATCCAGATATAAAAGAAATTTACCAACTTTTTTTTTTATATCTGGTTTGTTGTTATGAATATTTTCTTATATCAAAAAGCTTTAATTTTGTGTATTCACAATGTTTCCCCATAACTGATGAAAGAGTTTGAGTATAAAATTATGTCAATGCATTTTTCTCATTTATTGAATTTGAAGAACTGTTTAAGAAACTAAGAAAAATAGGTAAGTTTCTTAGTAGATCTAGTAATAAGTTTAAACCATGGTTTAAAAGAAAGAGTGTATTGCGAAATAAGTATCAAGTTTAAAATATTACTTTACATAAGTTAAATTCAACTGATTAAAAGTTTCAAAATATTCATCCAAATGTGGTGGTGTGGAGGACAAAAGAAGGATGACAAAGAAGTAACCATAAAATTAAACAGGATATTTATTCAACTACAGCTACTTAGTCCTTCGTACACCTGGTTCGTTTACACTAAACACACTTGATCCCAAACTATAGTACGTGCACAAGTTCGAATCCGTCCGACAAAATTCTATATTTTCACAAATAGAACACGTGCTCGCGACAATAAAAAGATTATGGTTTAAGATACTACGACTACTTAAATCTACCTTAATCTAGCTTATATGCTAAGGAAGAAGGGTAAAGAAATTAAGAGATATGAAGAGAAGAGATAAGTATAAAGGACAGATTTTGTGGGGGTACCCGGGTAAACTTGGGAGTCTCCGATCTTCTCTATATTGGTACTTGAATTAACTCAATTTCCTTCCTCTTGATTCCGTCTCTTGAGAATTCGGGAGCGTTTTTTCTTGAGGTCTTATGGCTGGATGTCTTTCTAATTTTCGTCCGTTCGCAGACGACTTCCAAGCCTTCTCCGTTTGTCCCACTAGGCGACAAACCTCTAGCTTGCTCTTTCCTACGTCTGCACACCTCAGACGCTGACCCAAAAGTATCCAGTTCGTTCTCTCTGATGGCCTCAGGGCTTCTTAATGTCCCTTTTGTCTTCTCCCCTTTGTCCTTGGACAAAGGTCGTCCCCCACCCACAGAAAAGGAATAGGTTAGAAAGTTCTAGAAACACGTTAAAGACAAAGGAATTTAGGAGAAAATAAAATTTATATCTACCCCTATTTACAAAAACATGGCGTACCGCCACATATGCCCCCCCTTTAGAATCAAGCACCATGGTGCAACTTATGGTAATCGATCCTCCCCCTTCGCAGGTTATAACGAGGCTGGGGTCTCACATCATTTTCCCCCGCAGTCTTATCTCCTACTTGTTCTATACTATCTCTTCTTGCTTGAGGTGGATGCTCACGATGTGCTGCTGCTCTTGAACGGATCCATGTCGCTATTTGTTCGTCCGCTTCTTCGTCCTCTTCGTCGTTCCCTTCTCCATCTATGCTTCCCATTTTTTTTTGGAGGCGACGACTGTTCCTTTTTGGTTCTTTATACATTGGGGAGTAGCAGTTTTTTATGCGATCTGTGTGCACAATATACCTGTCTTTCTTACAGTTACCCCCCAGCTCCACCGTAACTGGCCCTAGAATCCGAGTTATTCTGTACGGTCCCATATATTTAGGCGAAAATTTTCCTTTCCTTTTGCCTTTACGCATGAGCCAAACCCTTTGGCCTTCCTTCCAGCTGCTACATCCTCTATTGCCATTTATCCTTTCTCGATTTCTCCGATTTCGCCTCCTTCCCAGATCATAAGCGGTTTCCCTTAACATGATTAATCTTTTAACAAAACCCCAATCTTGATCGCGTTCATGACCATTAGCAGAGGTTTCGGTTTCTTGAAACGGGGCACGTCCCCTATGCAAGTTATGCTTTTGACATATCTTACACCTTCTTATGACCTGTTTAACTCGATTTTTCAGATCTCTTATGTAATAGTACCTATCAACCAGGTTACAAGTCTTCTCCGCACCTAGGTGCCCAGAGAGAGGAGAGCTGTGGAATGACCAGATTACTTGATCCACCATTTCCTCACCTACGCAAACACGTACCTTGTTCCCGAGCCCCATTCTTCCTGGCTTTATGTGCACAATCACATCATTTTCCATCATGAACTCGGGTTGCATCCCCCCGATTAATTCGTTATGCTCGCGTCTTTGTAACTCGCGTTTTTTTCGCATCTGCTTAAGGAACTCGTCCCCCCATTGAGATGTAACGACCTTTTTCCAAATCTCATAGTTATCAACCACATTACTAAATACAGTGCTGTCCCCCTCTTGGACAACTTTAGCCGAGGCATGTTCTGTCGACTTCCTCACCCCGTCGATAATTTCATAAAGATTACTTATCACGTCCATGCCTAATATGCCATTGAAATCAATGTGTCCCGGTAGACGCATGCAAGCAATTGTCACATTGCATGCCTGGTCTTTGTATCTCACCTCAGTTCTTATGGTCCTTTCACACTTGGTGGTGCTACCATTTATGCCCCTTATCCCTACATTTTCGTTTTCCGGGGTGGCTCTAATGACCTTAGCCTCAGAAATACTTTTCACCGAACTTAGGTCTAGTATGGATCTCTCTGCCCCCGTGTCGATCAAAAAAGAGAATTTTATACCTTCCACCTCACCTTCAACAAAAGGGAGCCCATTTCGCGATAGTAGAATCTTACTGGCCAGACTGATCTTAATATAGGAAGCGCCGGGCTGACCTCTATGATTTCCTTCACTTATTTTTAAATTATCATTCGCTCCCTTTGGGCATCTACGGGAGAAGTGCCCTATTTCCCCACACGTGTAACATCCTTTGTTGACCCTTCTTGGCCCTTGATCCTCACTATTTAACAGCTTACTTATAGCTTCGGTTAACGCGTCGATTTTTCTTCCTAGCTTTTCTATCTTATCGTTACACTGACCCCCACATATTTCTACTTTCTCCCATTCTTTTACAGCTGTATTAGTTGTCTCCTCAATCGCTGAACTAACAGCCCTCCTTTCATAACGGCCGCCGGCCTCGGCCTCAATCGATTCCTCAGCTTCAGCAATCTCGAATGCCTCATCCAAAGTTTTTGGAGTTTTTCTCATTACATTACTCCTTATGACCCCTCTCAAACCCCTTACAAAACGTTCCAAAATTATATCGTCCCGTAACAGACTTATACTTTGGTGACTTATCGCCGCCCTGGCAAGTAAGGTTCGCATACGAACTGAATAATCTGTCACCGATTCATTATTCCCTTGTTTTATGGACATTAATTGATCTATTATATCTCTGTCACCCATCTCCTTCTTACTAAAGCATTTTATCAGGTCCCGCTTAATATCCATATATGACTCGGGGTATTGTTCAAGTAAGCACATAAACGTTTTTAATGGTTCACCCTTTAGTCTCGATTGTAGCACGGCCACCTTAACCTCATCATTCCAACCTGCTAGTCGCGCAATCTTATCAACCGTACAGAAAAATTGTTTCACATTCACTACATCGCTCTGTAATCCAGAAAACATGGGTATCATACCCAGAAACCCTGTTACGACCAGTGGTGAGCCGGGGGTAACACTTTCACTGAAGCTCGAACTTTCCACTGAATTACTAGTGGCCATTATAACAAAAGAAAAATATTATATTTATATAAAATAGGCGATTAACAACAGGTAATAACACGCTTATTTCTAGTCACCGACTTCAAAAATATCAAGAACCGTGCACCCACACTATAGTTGGGATCCTGTCGCGGACGCCATTGTGGTGGTGTGGAGGACAAAGGAAGGATGACAAAGAAGTAACCATAAAATCAAACAGGATATTTATTCAACTACAGCTACTTAGTCCTTCGTACACCTGGTTCGTTTACACTAAACACACTTGATCCCAAACTATAGTACGTGCACAAGTTCGAATCCGTCCGACAAAATTCTATATTTTCACAAATAGAACACGTGCTCGCGACAATAAAAAGATTATGGTTTAAGATACTACGACTACTTAAATCTACCTTAATCTAGCTTATATGCTAAGGAAGAAGGGTGAAGAAATTAAGAGATACGAAGAGAAGAGACAAGTATAAAGGACAGATTTGTGGGGGTACCCGGGTAAACTTGGGAGTCTCCGATCTTCTCTATATCGGTACTTGAATTAACTCAATTTCCTTCCTCTTGATTCCGTCTCTTGAGAATTCGGGAGCGTTTTTTCTTGAGGTCTTAATCTGGGTGTCTTTCTAATTTTCGTCCGTTCGCAGACGACTTCCAAGCCTTCTCCGTTTGTCCCACTAGGTGACAAACCCTTTGCTTGCTGTTTCCTACGTCTGTACACCTCGGACGCTGACCCGAAAGTGTCTTGTTCGTTCTCCTGATGGCCTCAGGGCTTCTTAATGTCCCCTTTGTCTTCTCCCCTTTGTCCTTGGACAAAGGTTGTCCCCCACCCACAGAAAAGGAATAGGTTAGAAAGTTCTAGAAACACGTTAAAGACAAAGGAATTTAGGATAAATAAAATTTATATCTACCCCTATTTACAAAAACATGGCGTACCGCCACACAAATACTTGTATAAAATATAGAGTACACATGAAATTATGAATCTCAACATTTTAGTAAGATATATTAAATAGAATTATTGTAAAAATTATAATTATTTGAAATTTCTATTCACATCTGTAAAAAATTCTTTTTAATAATTTTGATATTTTAATAATAAAGTTTATTTTTTAATAAACTTAAAATTAAATAATAATAAAAAAATTAACGTTAAAGAAGATAATTTCTTTTTTAAATCAATTTTTTTATAATTAAATTGAAATAAATTTACAGTGAATATATTCAAAATTATTCAAAAACTTTATAAAAACATTAAAATACCAAGTCAACCCTGACTTTCAGATGTAACACTAAAAACGTGTGCAAAAGTTGAGCAATAGGATGTTAGAAAGGGAATCCTGTTCCTATTGTGATAAAAACAATTTTTATTTTAAGGTAGAAGAGTTATAACATTTATTATTTTTATGGTGAATAGGTTAAGTTGTCTAAATCAAATAATATTTGATTTCAAATAAATATAAAACATTAAAACCATATGTGAAAATTAATTTTTGTATGTTACTGAAATCAAAACTGACACTGTATGATAGCTCAAAAGTTGAGTATTATACAGTGTGTATATAATTCTTATAAGATGATATTCTCATAACTAAAATATTAATACAAAATTTATTTATTATGAATTGTTAAAAATTAATAAATGTTATAGTAAAATTATACTAATTTATCAAAAATCAACAGAAGTAATATTTAACTTTAGTAGTAAATATATATGGAAATATAAAATTATTGATATAAAAATGCCTTACTTTTGGTACATTATTTGCAACAATTTTATCCAAAAATGTTGTAGCATCCTTTCCTAGCAACTCTAATTTTCCAAATGGAGATAAATCAATAATACCAATAGCATTTAAAACTAAATTACATTCTCTGCCTACAGGTTCAAACCAATTTGTACGACGAAAACTAGGAATATATCCTTTTTGGTCACTTTTTGATGCAAACCAAGCTGGTTGTTCCCATCCTAAATGAAAATTATTATATGCATTATTAAATAAGACTTCTATTTTAACATTAAATAATAATAAAATTACAATTTTACTTTTTTAGTAAAGTGATTTAGTTGGTCTTTTTTTTACCATCTATCATATGTCAAGGTTGTCATGACACTTATCTAGAGAAAGCTTTGTAGATTCAGTTTGAATTTCTGGAAATTTTTTGGTGAATTATGATTTTAGCTTTAACATTATCTATATGGGAAACAATTTAATTGTGTCAATTGTAACCTAATTCAAATATTACTCATATAAAAGAACAGGGTATAGTTAGACCAACTATAGTAAGGGTGACTCTAGCAAAATGTAGCCTTACTAGGAGTCTAGAAGTTACAGAATACCTCAGAGAAAGTGTGTCCAGAGCCCTTCCATTGGAAAAATTTTTAAAATTAATTTAATATAATACTATTAAATAATGCATAAACAAAACAGTACAAAAATATTTAAAATTTAAATGTTAAAAATTGTATCTACAAATTCTGTTTGATTAGTTAGTTTTATCATTTGGAACAATGGATAGGGCAACTGAACCACCTCTGGCCCCTCTACTTCTATGCCTGGACAGAACTAATAAATTTTAAAAAATCATGCCATTTAGAGAGGAAAATACAAAAAGGTAAACTGCATTATATAGAGTCACTATATAAAGATTATAACTTGCATAAGCTATGATTCAAATAGTTTTATTGATCATGGAAATAATGTATTATATGCTGTAATGAAATTTGATCAGTTTGTATGAATGGGCTTATTGATGACATTCTCCTTTTATAGTTTCCTCTTTTGTCACTTTTGTTAGTGTTATGTATTGGCAACACCATTTCCTCAGGGTTTGAGGATATAAAAAAATGGCTAACAAAGGAATCCTTGTCCTTTCCTTGGCAAGTGTCTTACATAAAAGAAGTGCAATAAAGACAATTGTAAAGAGTCACGGACTTGTTCTTTTTCTTAATAGTTAAGACATAATAGTTTAAAAAAATCACGTTACAGTTTTGCTGTTTTTATTTTAATTAAAAAAATATTAATTTATAAAATAATGAAAACAGAAAAACTGCAACATAATTTTTTTAGCTTACTAATAAGAGTGACAAAAATGAAAACTATGACAAGGAAAATATCGTTGATAACCCCATTCATATACACACTGATCAAACTTCACTGTGATATTGTACAATAATATAAATAGGTGAGTGTCTATAAATATAATATAAAAAACAATTAATATTGAAGGCATATGTTTAACTTTTTGTATCTAATTAAAACTAATCTTTTGATAGAATCTATTAAAAATGGATTTTATAAAAAATTAAAAAAACAATAAATACCTGCATGAAATCCCATTTCTGCACCAGAGTTTAACAACTGATTATAAATAGTGGGAACTCTTGTTGTTGGCCTTCCTGCCCATCGTTCCTCTTTAGGATAAGTATAGCTATTGTTCATTCCATATGATTCTCTTGCTTTTTCAAACACATAATTCCTTTAAATAAATAATACAATGATATAGTTAGACACATTTTTAGATAGCCAAAACAATATTAATTATAAATGTAAGATGCAACTGAGCTGGTAGTAAAGGATCAGTGAATGTATTTTAAGCAACTGATATTTAAAAGCTGATTGTTTTTATAAAGAAAATGTATACATATCTTATTGATTTAGATCATAATGTTGTGAATAAAAAAGATGCCAAAGCAATTTTGAAAGTATGAAAGGATTCATAAGGAGAAATAGAAGTAAGGAGAAATTTAACACATTGTTTAGAGCTGTAAATACCTAACTACTTTAAATCTCAAATCCAATACATATATAAACATTAATAAAATATTTAAAATTAAATACTTTCCATTTATAATTTATTGTAATAACATAATTAAATTTATATGTTTACTCAGACACCTTGCGTTAGTTCCAGCAGGTTCATTTTATTGGATAAAATAAACATTTTTTATCACTTTTGGAGACCTTTGTCTTTTTTTTGTTTCCATAAATCTCTTGCAATTAATTGAACAAATTTTTAAAGAAGGAACATTCTACATGAAATGTGACAATATTCAAATATCACATTTTGTATAAAACATTCCTTGTATGCACTGACGTTTTATCTTGTTTAGATATTAATGTTTCATCACAATCAATTATCTATAGTAACCATTTAAAATGTTACTAACCTTGTTGTCCATTTACTGAAACGGTTAGGATCAGTTTCGATAAGGTCATATGGTGGTTCTCCTGTGATTATCCAATCAGCTAGATATTTTCCTATTCCACCAGAATGAATAATTCCATATCTATTTATGAATAAATATATGTATAAAAACTTGTTGCATTAGTAATAATAATACATTGAACTGCAAGATATGTAATTAAAACAAACCTTTACCCCAAACCAACAGCCATCCATAAATTAGGACAATCTATAAATGGACCGACTAAAGGCAATAAATCTGGTGTATACATTATTGGACCACTAACTGTTGTTTGAATATTGGCAGTCCTTAACACAGGTACTAGGTCCATTGCAACTTCTAAATGGTCTGTCAACCTATCTAAATCTGGTTGGAATAATTCTTTTCCAAACCCTGTGCAAAAATTGAATTATTATTGTTATGATTATTAGAACAGACTAATAATTAAAATGTATTAGTTTAAATTATAAGCTTATTAGAAATGACAAACCTAATTTTTATTTTTCTTAAACAGAATAAATCATTGCAGATTTGACTAAATCAAAATAATAATAAATTTCTGATTTCTTATTATCATTAAATTACAATAAAAATAAATACAGGTAATTGGTCCTCTCTAACAATTTTATATTTTTACGTGCAGATTGCTCTGGCATTGCCTGGGGAAAAAGTAACAACAACAAACATTAAAACAAAAACCATACAAAGAATTTGGTTATTTTAGTGTCACGTTTATCACGATACTCAAGTAGTACAAAATGACACAATTTCATTGATCAAATAGGCAGAAATTGAAGATATGATATCCTAAAAAATTTAAAGATATCATATTTTTTTCTAATATTAACTCTAATTTACTGTCCCATTCACAAGCCAAATATCAAATGGAAACCTGCCAATAAATCAAATTTTGCAAAAAAATGGACCAAATATTTAAACTCTGCACTCTCAAAAACTCCTTATAACATATTTTGTGCTTGCTGGTAACTTTGTATTCTATAATTTTTCTATTCAAACACCACCAGTTGGTCTGATAGAAAGAAGGGGCTAAAGTTAATTTGACCAAAAGTAGTCATTGACCTCCTTCTGGAAGAGTGGATGGTCAATGACTACTAATTAATACTGGTCTACTGCTACTACTACTTAGTCCTTTCAGAGGGCGTGGCAATATTATGAATTGATGGCTTTAATTGTATCCTTTCACTTTTCACACTGTTGTGCTATCTGAATGGCCTTGTGTTATATGTTCTGTAATTGCCATTTACTTGGTCTGCCCACCTATTCCGAAATCTGCCTCTAGGGAATTTGCCATTAACCTTACCTTTCAGAATTTTTTCTCAAATCCATTTTTGCATCTGGAAAGATGTTCCAAAAAGCGAAGGTAGGATTGGTGGATTATAGTGGTAAGGCATGTTGTGATTTTCAGTTGATTTAGGACAGAGTAATTTGTTTGGTGTTCCATCCAAGAGATTCTTAGCATTCTTCTATATGTCCACATCTTAAAGGAATCAAATTTTCTCCGTGAAGTGGCAGTTATGGTCCAGGTTTCTGTGGCATACAGGGCAATTGTGTGAGGTTAGCCAATTGGGGAGAAAGTGTTGCAACAGTCGAGCGGTCAGCACTGTCGTGTGGGAGTGAAAAAACTTACTGAGACAGGTTCTCCATCGTATACCGTTTAATAAATATAAAAATTTTTCTTACAACAAATTCTTATAACAGCATAACGCCTATCCAAAGTCGAGCAACAAGTTTGTAATACAAAAAGTTCAACTGNGCACTATCGTGTGGGAGTGAAAAAACTTACTGAGACAGGTTCTCCATCGTATACCATTTAA